AAAATCGAAAATTTGACATTTCTGTCCCAAGGAGTGTGTCACAAATTCAAATTGTGACATTTTTGGGAATCACAAATTGGTCACTAAAATATGACACCATTTATTTAGATCTAAGTATTCGCTTTGAAAAATTTCATTGATTTTCGACTTTTAGTATGAAAATCGATAAATTGACATTTCTGTCCCAAGGAGTGTGTCACAAATTCAAATGATGACATTTTTGGGAATCACAAATTGGTCACTAAATCTGTGTTGAAGAATTTTTATGATTACGGTTGTTTTTTTTGAAAGCCTTTTCGAAATTTCGATAATATTTCTTTTTTGGGCAATTTTCACTTTTTTGTTCAAAAAATGTCCGCCAGATGTTGTATCGAAATTTTCAAAATATTTTTGGAAATCACAAATTAATCACTAAAATACTGCATCATTAGTTTTTTGAAATTTTGTTTTATTTCGAATTTTTCAAAATTTCATTTATAGACTTTTTGATGAATAGGCTTTTTCAAATTTAGGCCTGTAACTTTTTTTCTGGAGCGTCACAAATTCTAAAAATTGCGTCACAAATTTTCACTAATTAATCACTAAAATTATGTGAAGTTTGAGCCCAATCGGGTACTTTGACCCCCTGGGTAGTGTGCGCCCAATTTTTCTTCCAAAAGTGATATTTAATGTATTCCTAAACACTCAAAAATATGTATTTGGGGGTTTTTGGGTACGAGGAAACCGAATATGACGTTAGTTTTGCGATACAAATAACTTTCGACACACTTTCCATACAAAAACTTCAAAAAAATTGAATTTATGTATGAAATCCATGTCTGTATGATTTTGTGTACTACGAAATTTTGTGTAGTAAGTACCCTTAATATGCATTGAAATTTCTTCAAACTTTCAGAATGTTAACTTTTTGTGAAAAAAATAACCTCTGCAAATTTTCACATGATAACGATATCGAAAATGATTTTTATCGTAAAACTAATGTCAGATTCAGTTTTCTCGTAAATTCTTTGAGTAAAGGATTTGTAATAAATGCATGTTGTGGATCACAGTGCGGAAAAGTTCATCTTACGGATGTAAGACATTTTATTTATCATAACAGAGGCCTATTTTGAGGGTAAAGAGAAATCGTACTATAAAAATGGTATCGAAAAGTTGGAAAATCGTTGGAATCGCTGTATCGCCCTCGAAGGCATGTATGTTGAATAATAAAACCGAATTTTGCCAAAAAAATGTGTTTTACTATGTTAGCCTACGAACTTTTCAGCCGGCCTGTTAAGTTTTGTGATTTCTTAAAAAATTTCTGTTATCAAAACGTAAAAACCGTCGTTTTTGCGAAAACATTCTGATATCAGTGTTTCGTTTAGTGAGTTTTGTGTATACAATTGACAAAATCGGTTTTACGTATTTAAAATTACATTTTTATTCTCACTCAAATCACATACGCTTTCTTAACAAAAATGTTCACTCTAATGTTTTGCCACTTCAACTATTGTACCTATATGTATATAAAGTTATATATTTTTTCTGCGATCTCTCTTAAAAGGAATTCAAGGAATAATCGCACAATTAGGCGTTGTGGTTGGTGCGTAAACAATATTCATTCTCGGCGTGCACTCGTTTACAAGTATCGCATTTTTCAGTTCTCGGTAATATTTCAGCGCAATGAAATCATAAATGGAATGGTAAACTGGCAAAAAATAAGGAATTATTACGTTATGCGGTTTGAAACATGTATTTTATTAACTTACCAAAAATAAAAATTCCAATGTAAAAGAATTCATGAAAACTCTCATGTGAGGAATGTTCCTCAAAGATGCTGTGAACGTTCAGAAAAAAGTTAAGCGTAAACATTGAAGTGGTATATTTTATTATAGATATTCATACTCATGCACTGTGAATGATATCCAAAACGCCCAAATAACCAAAGGAATCGTCCACCATATTATCGAGACTAGCACCATAAAGTTCTAATCAATTTTAATTATTTTTAATCAAATAAAAATGTTGTTTTTAAAGATGAAAATGTATGTTTGAAATGTGTAGAGTCAAGTCCATACCATTCCAAGTCCAAGTCCAGCAAGCCAAATGAAACAACCTATTAAATTGAATACTGAACATTTGTTGATAAATTTGTGTAAACAAAAACTGTACTACTGAAAGTAAAATGAAAGTAAATAAAAAGCCTAACTCACCAAAGGATGCAGCAATACCATTGCTGGCAAAGCGGGAATTTTCAACTGCAAATAAGCATATTAGGTTTACGATAACTCCGATCCAACCAATTATATTCCCTTGGAGACCGACCATTTTGAGCGTATGTTTGAAACTGACTGATGATTTTGCTCAGTTTTAAATAATCAGTTCGTATGACATTCAGCATTCAGTTACAGATAATAATACTTTTATCACAAATAATTGTTAGTATGCGTGCGACCAGAGTTTAATTATGATAATGATTTAAAGGTCAAAAACAAATACGATTTATTTTATTCCACTCTTCCGTTGCTATACGAATTTTGATCATTCGCCAACGTTTTACATTCTATTTATGTATTTTGTTATATGTTTCGAATCAAATTCATTTACTTTATTTGTGACTTTGATTTGAACTCAAAGCTCTTCAATTTTCTGAAATGGGAGTCATTTGATTTCGATTTGCTAGACATTTTGATGGACAAATGAAACCTTCTTAACCAAAACAATTATTATCGTACCACATTTGGAATTTGAACGCAAGTTTTAAAACGAATGAGGTAAGATTTTTGAAATTTCCCTTATTTTACGTTTCTGTCATTCAACGGAATTCCGAACTACTCAAATTGATAACAATGCTTGCGAATATGCGTAAAGTGTGAGTTGCGCATACATACACAACGAAGAAGAGTAGCCAGCAACGCCAACACTCGTTGCATCCTGATGTTATCATCGAAGAGATTGTTTTTAATGTGAATCACTCAGGGATTGTTCCTCTGAGGAGGAGGAACGGTGAGGAGGAAAATGAGGAGGAGGAGAGGAGGATCCTCCTCCTCAACTGAGGAGGAAAATGTTTTTAGCTAAAAATAACATTTTTTGACTCAAAGGGCTGAGCAAAAAAAACTTTTCCTCCTCAGTTGAGGAGGAGGAGGATCCTTCTCGCTCTCCTCCTCCCCCTCAATCTCCTCCTCCTCAGAGGAACAATTATCGATAAATAATAGATATATTCAAATGGCCGTGTTCTTTTTAAAGATTTTAAAATTATTATTTTTTTATTCTTTCAACAAAAGTTCAAGCCAAGATGTACAAAAATGTTCAGCTTATTTTTATTCATCACTGTATACTGTTAATTTTGATGTTACGAAAACAAGTGATTGCTTGAAATGTGTGTTTTTCTTCTATACTCCTTGAAGTCATGCTTTATTAATCGCACAATTTCCGTTTGTTGTTGGTTCGTAGGCAACATTTAAGCTTGGTGTAAATTCTTGGGTTAGAGTTGGAGCACTTTTAAGTTTTAGATAATGTTTCAATGCAATGAAATCATAAACGGAACTGAACACTGCAAAAAAAATGAATAATTATCAACTCAGGGAGTTTAAAACATTTTTTTTTAAATTAACATGCCCAAAATGAAAACTCCGCTCCAAAAATCTCGAGTTTCGTTCTCTCTATGCAAGTAAAAAAATTCCGTTTCACCCGAAAATATGCTGTGATCAAAATATTCGGGAAAAATTAATCGAAAACAATAAATATTTCGGTTACATATGGACAATTACTTGTGTGCTGTGAATGATATGTAATACACCCAAATAACCAAAGGTATCGCCCATCCAAACAATGCGATTATCAAAAGCATCATAAAGTTCTAATCGATTTTAATTATTAAATCACATAAAAATGTTGTTTTTAAAGATAAACATGTATTTTTGAAATGTGAAGAGTTGTGAATTTCGATGCACTCACCATTCCCAGTCCAACCAGCCAAATGATGCAAGCCACTAAATTGAATACTGAAAATATCGAATATTTTTCATTGGATTTTTATAAATTGAAACGAAATCGCTGCAATTTCACATGTAACTCACCAAAAGATCCAGCGATCTGTCTATTGGCTATACCAGCAAATTCAAATGCAAACAAACATAGTAGGTTCATAACAACACCGAACCAACCAATTATCTTTCCTTGACGACTGTCCATTTTGAGCGTTGGATTAAAACTAACTCAGTCCGTTTTGAAATGCTGTGGACGTTCAATCAGGAATAACTGTGTGTAGGCGAAGAAAACAAAGATAATTTTTGTATCGTACCACATTTGAAATGCCCCCTTTTTCAGTGTTCCTAACACCATATAGTACATGTACATTATCTGGTTGGATGTAAAAATTATTTTAATTGTGCTTGATTACCATATTCCATGGCACTACAATGTTGTTTTAAATAACTTGAACGCACTGATATCACGAAACACTATCGAATATTCTGAAAACTCGATAAAGATTAATAATAAAATGTGAAAACATTGACTAACAAACAGATGAGAGAAAGAATGTGAAACATGACAATTATATTACATTATCAATTCACTCTCAATCATTTTCATCTAAATCAATGTTTCAAATCGACCAAATAAATTTATCCAATGATCATTCTTAAAATTTCACATAATTTATTAGATGAATCAAATGCATAGAAAAGGGGCATAAAGTATGTGTCTTTTTGCGTATCTGCAGCACAATTGGCGATAAAATAAAATCTACAGTGTAATCACATCCAGAAATACACAGTTTATGCGAATGTGCTCAATTTATTGTTTGAAAATCAAAAGCAGACGTAAGTCTATCTCAAATCGAAATAATTGAATTTTTTCATTTGCCATTTGTTCATCGATGGCCAATTTCGAACGGGTCACACCTCAATGATCCGAATGCTCTTCAAGTCACGTAATTCATCACCGAAACTAAATCGATTTGTCCTCGTGCCATTCAATGGCCTTCGACTAATCTCACAAAGGAAATGCTCTCATTCCAATACCATAGCAATCAGATACGTAGGCGACTATTTAAGTTTCTTCAATATGTATGTTTTAGTATTGCCCGATGCAAACCATTGTCATATTCGTTAAGTTTAACATTTTGTAGCATAAACGTTCTCAGAACGTTTTGTCATTCGATCGTTATTTGTATTGTTTACCGTAACATGTAAATTGCGTCTCAGCCAAAAAATGAATTTTACTCGTGAAAATTTTCGAGCGATTATTTTTTTCCACTTTCGATTGGGTGTATCACAACAACAGTGTTTTGATCAACTTCATTTGGCCTTTGGCGATGAAGTACCAAGTCTTCGGACAATTTATAATTGGTACAACGAATTCAAGCGCGGTCGCCTATCGCTCATCGACGAGTTCCGCGAAGGTCGTCCAAAATCAGTTGTTGTACCAGAAAACATCGATGCTGTCAGAAATATGATAATGGAAGATCGTCATGTAACATATCACGAGATTGAGGCATCCCTGGGCATTAGTGCGACAAGCGTATTTAAGATTTTACATGAACATTTAGCTGTCAGAAAGATTTGCTCTCGTTGGATACCACATAATTTGACAATCGCTCAAAAAAAGGCTCGTGTCGATTGGTGTAAACAAATGCTCAAGAAATTCAATCGTGGTGTTTCAAAATCCGTGTATTTTATCGTCACTGGTGGCGAATCATGGATCTACGCGTATGAGCCCGAAACTAAACAGCAGTCGACTGTATGGGTCTTTCAAAGTGAAGATAACCCAACAAAAGTTGTTCGAGCTCGAAGTGTTGCGAAGCAAATGGTCGCCTGTTTTTTCTCGATAAGTGGTCATGTGGCAACAGTTCCACTAGAGGCTCGTAAGACCGTCAATTCTGATTGGTACACCACCATTTGTTTGCCCGAAGTGTTTGATGAAATTAGAAAAAACAACCGCCGTCGCAAAATAATTCTTCATCATGATAATGCGAGCTCTCACACATCTCATCAAACAGTCGATTATTTGACCGGTCAAAAGATCGATTTAATGGGTCATCCGCCGTACAGTCCTGATTTGGCACCCAACGATTTCTTTTTATTCCCGAGCGTGAAGAATAAACTGCGTGGTCAACGATTTTCATCGCCCGAAGAAGCAGTTGATGCGTTCAAAACACACGTTTTGGAGATATCACTTTCGGAGTGGCATGAATGCTATGACAAATGGTTCGAGCGAATGCAAAAGTGTATTGATCATCATGGCGAATATTTTGAAAAACAATAAAACCATTTTCGATGAAACCCCATTGTCTTATATATGTTTTTGAAAAAACTTAAATAGTGACCCTCGTAAAAGACGATCATAATTTTCAATTGATTCTCTTAGGCAGATTAGCTGGCTAATTTACCACAAATGTATACACTGGCTAACGAATGTGTAAACCAGCACTAATACATGCATATATACACTGAGTTGTATTTCACTCATAAACGTCAGTGAGAATCGTACGTAGTCACACAGATAGCTGGCTAACGATTGGCATACACCAGTTGTTGGTGTAAACCAAGGCTAAGACAATGCTGGCTAACGAGAAACCATCACTGGTTATCCTGCTAATAAACTTTTTGCGAATGCGCACTGTATACAGTGTACCACATGCCTACATTAACATAGCCAAAAAACCCGTTGCTCTGTGATTCTCTAGAAAATCTCAAAATCAGTAGCAAAATGATCAAAGTTTTCAGATGATTACAATACTTTAATGCACGCAGTGGGTGTGTAGAAATGTAAAATAAATCTAGAAAATCGGTTTTTGGTTTTCTAGAAACAAGACGTTTTTTACTAGGGCAAAGTACAACTAATCAGCTTGGAATAGATCAAGTCGATTTTTTGTATAAATCCAATGATTCTCAAAGAAGTTGATATGCCACTTTATGTGGCTTAAATTCTTCGAATTTATGCAAAATATTCACAATAATAAGAGAAGCTCTACACTTCTTCTGACATTTGGCGTGCCAATCAAATAATATTTATTTGAATACAAACAAATTAATTCAATTCGAATTAATTCCTAAGTCAAATTTCAATCGATTGAATTCGCCAAAGTAACATCGATATGTAAATGTTACAAAATTATAACCAAATGTTGGACTAATCACAGCACGCATATCAAAATTGTTGGAATTTGAAAAATGTCAACTTAAAGTTGTTATTTACATAATAGACCAAGAGCCACTCCAACAAGTAACTTTTTTCTTTGCTTTATGTCAGAAAACTATATTGAACCATGCAGCTAGACATACAATAAACAAATAATTTTACGTTTATTACTTCAGCCACCCACTTCGCGAAATCTGCACTATTATTCGCGGATAGAAAATTCATCAAGTAATTAAGCGAGCTGCATGTTTGATTTTCTGGAATATATTTTGTTTTTGCTCAAAGATTCTTCGATTAAAATTTCTGCATGAAATTCCGCATTGTTTACAAAATCTGCATGAATGAATTATGTAAAAAAAACTATCAACTTTTTTGTCAATAAATATGTGTATTTAAGTGCAGATTTTTATAATTTAGTATTATTTTATGATAAAAAATCAATGTTTAAAATTTCAGACATAAAGCTGACAAAAAAATAAAGATGAGAATTTCTGATTACTGAGAAATAGTATGAATATATGTGTTGCGTTCGATTGAAATAGATTTAACTGCAATATATATTAAAAAAAATGGAAGTTCACTCAAATCACTCAATTTGCACAGATTTATCATGCAACAAATGAAAATATTCATGTTTTCGACAGCTCATTTCATTTAGACGGTGAAAATGTTCTGGAAACTTGGAAAAATAAATCAAAACTATGTTTTTTTGAATTTGAATGCATTTTGTCTTGTATTCATATTGATTTATAATAGAAATAAACAAATACCAAAGACACATTGAGTGTAAATGTACAATAAAAATTGAAATTGCGTGATTTCTACTCATTAATATGGAACACTTGAAAAAATCGTTTTGCCTTAAAAAAAACGTGTGAAAGCATTTTTAAGCACGAAAACTCGTTGAAACTTCTCAAGTTCCTGAAACGCCCCGGTAAACGGAAGTACAATTTATATTGGATGAGTTTCGATTGGTTCAACAGATGTTTTTCATATGATTAGAATGTATGACCCACATTCGTTTTGAAATATAGGCGCAAGAATTAAACTTGCATACACATTGTAAGAACTTTGGTGCCTTATGAGAAATCAGATGTTAGATAAAAACATGTAAATTGTAATTTGTTCAGACGAGCAACGCTATATGGAAGTAAGCATTCTACAAAGGAAATGAACATTGTATTTGGTGTCGAACTTTGAAATTAAATGAATTGAATCCATGAAAAAATCAACGGGATGTTTAATATCAATAATTATAATCGAAAATTGCGTTCAAAAACCTACGAAGATGTACTAGAAAAGGTTTATCGACAAAATTGTGTTGGAATATTGACTGGCGCTTTTGCGTTATGGTAACGATGTTTATGTGTAAAAAAAATTCGTTAAGTAAGAATTTTTCATAGTAAAATGACAGAAACTTGAGACGGAGATGATGCAAAAATGATCCTCCCACCGTTTTTCTCGATCTTTTTTCTCTCGAGACTTCCTTGCATCCCATTTTATCCTTTTTTTATCGTACATTCATGATTACGAGACGGAACAAATCCAGAAGCAGTTTGCAAACATGTCAAATGGTTGTGAGCTTGAGGAAAATTAAGTCGTCCGTCGACGACGATCTCCCGTTGCTCCATTTTTTTCTCTCTCTCAGTATATATGTATTCTGTTCCTTATTCACTCAAACTCTTGTTTGTCTCGCGTTGATATTATTCAGTGCCAAGTTTACGCGGCATCTGTCGTTCGTTTATGTGAACAAGCCAAAATTGAATGATATGCTTACGAGCGAGTAGAGAGAGAGAGAGAGATTTGTTGACGTTTGTGTTTTCATAAATTCCGATGTGTTGTCTTTCATCTTTCATTCGTTCAATTTGATGTCGTTTGAAGCGTTGCGTCTTTCTGTGTACTGTACGATATTTACATAAAACATTGGTTTCCCATTTGTCAAAATGTAAAATGAGGTCGAAAACAATCGGGTGAACTCGCGAACGAAAAAAATGTATGTCGACTTAAGTTAAACATTGCCATAAATCGTAGCTCCAGAAAATTATTCATAGTGAAAATAAATTTGACTAATTCTCTCTGTGTGCATT